GGGGGAGGGGCCGAGGTCAGCCAGTGAGTCTATAGGAGTTAAGCCTAGCAGATGGCTCAGGCGAAATTCAGACTCTGGCTTCAGAGTGAGCCTCATGGATTCACACATGCCCTGGGCCAAACACCTCATTGTTTTCTTTGGCCGGCCCTTAATCATGGCTTCGGGCCCCAGTGTCCTCAGGTAAACCACAGTGCCCAGTGCAATCGCTGTTCAGCTTGCAGTGCCCAGAAGTGGAAAATTGCAGGGACCCATTTACTTGGTTGGCCTTGCGGCCTCCTGAAGGATCCTGGCTGCGCCTGCCCCCTTCAGGTGGTCCCCAGCATTACATCACATGAGTTCTCTAGAAGGCTACCCCAGCAAGACTCTAGGGCAGTGGTTCTCAACCTTCCTGATGCCGCGACCCTTTAATACAGTTCCTCATGTTGTGGTGACCCCCAACCATAAAATTATTTTCATTGCTACTTCATAACTGTAATTTTGCTACCGTGATGAATCGTCATGTAAATATCTGATATGCAGGATGTATTTTCATTGTTACAAATTGAACATAATTAAAGCATAGTGATTAATCACAAAAACAATATGTAATTATATATGTGTTTTCTGATGGTCTTAGGTGACCCCTGTGAAAGGGTCGTTTGACCCCCCAAGGAGTCGCGACCCACAGGTTGAGAACCACTGCTCTAGGGTCCTTTGCCTCCATTGCTGGACCTGTGGAAACTCCTGGCCCTGGGGCTCCCCAATCACTTGGCCCCTCACTTTCCCCCCAGAAAGGGCCACTTGAGGCTCTGGAGGAGCGGGAGCCCCCTGGACAGACAGACAAGCGTTCACACCACACTTGGAGACCCTAACAAGGCCGTATCTCGGAACCTTCATTTCTTTCCCTCTGCAACATGGAAGGACAATTTTTTAGTGACACTGAGTGTTAAGCATAGTATATATTTAAGAAATGTTTATTCCATTGGGATTGGGAACAGGACCTGCTTCCAGAGGATGAGTTGAGATCTAGGGTCCCCATGGGGTCAGGGTTGGGGGTCCTGGAGGAGGTCCTGGGAAGAATTCCTGGAGTAGGGGGTCATCAGGACCAAAGCCTCAAAGGCTGAGGCATTTGCAACCAGGGAAGGCTACCCTAGGAGGGGGGAGAGCAGGAACTAAGGCTGGGAGGTGAGAGAGAAGTGAGCGCAAGGTGGGCTCACTGTCAGGATGCTCAGAAGTACACAGAGCCCTCGCTGTCCCCTCGGCTGTCGAATTTCTGGATCTGCGCCTTGAGGTGCCTTAGTTTGCCCTTCAGGTAACGGCAGCGAGCCTGCTTGTCCAGAAAGCCAGGGTCCTGGGTAGGATGAGAGCGGGGAAGTCCTTGTGGTAGTCTGGCCTATGGCCCTCAAGCTGCTTGGCCGTTTGCTTTTCCCGAGCCTTGGTTTTCTTTCTGTGAAACTGGGCACTTATGGGAGTGTCAGGGGTACGAAGGCCAGGCTGCGGGATTCAGGCCATGACTCACCGTCCGCTTCTTCTCAAACTCTCTCCAGACTCTGGCGGCTACTTGAGCCTCCTTCTGAGGGGAGAAGGAGGAGGGCGACTAAGGGAGTGCTGGACCCAAGGAGAGATGGGGAAACTGAGGCTCAAAGAGACACAGCGACCCCCCCGAGGGAGCACTTCAGGGCTGATGTTGGCTCACGTGCGGTGGTGCCCGCCCAGGCTGGGGGAGGAAGAGTCTGGAGATCTAGACCTGACGGGTGTGCTGAGAGCCAGGGTCTGGCCACCCGGAAGGGCCGTGGGGCAAGGGTTTCCACCTGGTTGCTGACCTGGCTTTGGGGTGGGGGCAGTGAGGTCAGCAGGGCTTCCAGCTGCTGGAGCTTAGCCTGTGCAGAGCGCAACTCCTGCTGGAGCTCCAAGAACTCTGAATACTGGTCCTGGAACACAGCAGCGTAGCAACTCCGCTCCCTCTCACTGCTCACTGGCGGGTACTTACTGCTGGGGGGAGAGGGGCGTGTTGAAAGCAGGACAGAGTGTGAGTGTAAAGAATCCCTGCCTCTCCCCCAGTCAGTATAATCTGTCTTTCTTTGCTCATGCTGGGCTCCCCGCTCAAATGTCCTTTTTCTCTTATTCACTTGTCAAAGCCCCAGACTCGGTGCCCCTTCACTGTCCCCAGACACCGGCAACCACAGGGGGGACACTCACAGCTCATAGTCGGGTACTGGGTGGGGCCTGGGCACATGCTCCCCAGGGATGGGTTCAACAGGCTTCTCGGTGCAGGGGTGGGCCGGGGAGGGCAGTTCATCCTCAAATACAATCTTCCTGGGCCTTGCCCTGGGAGCTCCTGGCTGCGGTTAGCACAGAGACAGCGGACGCTGGTTTCAAATGAACCAGGCTATGGGGAAGCTGGGATCCTTTAAAGGGGGGGTAAGGAATCCTCTGCCTAGGCTCGGCCTGGGGACCCTCCTCCAGCTCACACTTACCGGGGGCCCTGGGCCAGGCGGGCGGAACTGCAGGTCCCCCCGGGAGCCGTGGGTGTGGGGGGGCCCCCGGGTGGGCATAGAC